GATAAAATGGATGACAAACATGGGCGAAATTTCTCCCACAAAAAGCTATGAGACCGAGTTGCATTCATGAACACCCAAGCCAATTACTTAAATAAGTTGTTTTGAACCGGCTAGATTTACTATCATCTATCATATAAGGTTAGGCAGAAGTGTCTAAAATGAGAACTTAGTTAAATAAACTCGACTTGCTTGTAAGCTGACACAAACAACCTCTATACATGATGTTTTCTTTGCCTCATCTGAGTAATAATTGGTAGTTTTTTTTCTTTTGGTGTTTCTCTACCCCTTCTAAACATAAGGTAAACATGTTAATTTAGTCTGTCATATGGTCATGTTAATGACCATATTCTTTCTGCATACTAGTCATGAAAAGAGAATATCATCTTAATCTTAATGTGCATTTTTTTTTTAATTTTCTACTTGCATTCTAGGTGGATTAACTTTCTAAGTTCTTCTTTTTAGCCTTGGTATGCTCATGGAATTGCTGAAGCAATCATGCGGACTACGAACTTATCTGTTCCATTAAAAGTAAGTTTCTGAGTTTCCTGATTGGATGATTTTAGAAGACTCATTGTTAAAGTTCTTCATATGCTATAAGCTTACGCATGGCTAGTTAGACAATTCCATTGTTATTGTTAATTTGGCCTATCTACCAATCCTAAAATGAAATATGATGATAACGATAACTAGGAAGACATCACAACAATTTGGAGTATTCCTTTAAAAAACACGATGCTGCGTAGTTCTGGTTAATATCAAAACACATAAGGTCAAACCTGTTCATAGTTCTAGAAATTGGAAAGCTTAGCTGCAGCATTATAATATCATTACTTTATCGAGAGCCTCTCATTTTAGTTGTTAATTAGATAAAATTTTGTGTCACCATTGAGCAACCAAAGCCTGAAAACATTACAACTATGACACCGTGGGTAAGCAGGATGGCTGGTTAAAGCAATGGCTTCAGGTCAAGGCAGCCCCTGTTCAGAAATATAAAGACTCCATTCTATGTTCAATATAGCAATTAATATTACGTTCTTATTTATGTCAAATATACTCAATAAAAG